TTGGTCAAGTGGTTGCCGAGATATCTTCGATCAAAGTTTTAAAAGTTTGTAAACAATAAAGTGACAAAATCGAAGGATCTTCATGTAACCATGGTGCGAATAGCAATTTCCTTAAATAATTAAAAAAGTAGATCAGAAACATATTTATAGTAATTATATAGGCAAATTTGTCTGCAAATCTCTACTAATTAAGGGATAAGTTGAGGCTCGGCTCCTACAAATACTGCTATTTTATTATCTTTTCTAAGACATTCCTCTTTATGCTCTTCTTTTAGCAGATTGAAATCTTCAGCTGACTTTCTAAAGATGTCTTTGTACTTGTTTATTTTGTGTCTCCAATCTATATCTGAGTCCTCTAGTTATTCGGTACTTGTTGTGTACTCTTGATTTGAGCTGTAGAACATTGCTTACGGTGTTTGATAGAAAATTCTAGAATTTATCTGTAATATATAATGTACATGACTTTACATGTTTCTTACATGTTTTCATGTATAATTTTTGTGCAGTTGCTTTGGTGCTGCTGTGTAGCTCTGTGTGAAGTGTTTGTATTACCTTAAGGATCTGTGTTATAGGGATAATGCTATTTTCTGTTTATGCGAAAATGTGAAATAATTTGGCTAAAAGACCCAAGTATTCGACTGGTTTGCTCTATTATTCAAAGAGCTAATATGTCTCAGAGCTTAGTTTGTTTTCCTTTCTTACTACCAGAGAGTTTTGTTGCTTATATTGAGCTGGTCTCCAGTTTGTATGAGTTTTGTTACAATATATCTCTCTAAACAGAGACTGTTATTTCTTCTACTTGTTTAAACCACTATAACCAAAGTAATATAGCATAAACTGATATTTATAGCTTTTATTTTATATTCTGTTAGGTCTATTGTTGTGTTTGTAGCCGAGTTTTAGTGCAGTATGTATTTTAAGTCTTTTGCTATTTTTGTACCAAGTGATCCTATTCAATCATTTTTTTGTTTGTAATATATATAAATATTATATACATATATTTTATTGTGTTGTGGTTAAATTTTTTTTTTAATACTATAACAAAAAAAAAAAAAAAAAATGCTATTAGTAAAAGCTTAACATCAAAAAATATAAAATTTATATCAAAACTCTTTAGCAAATAAAAAAACTTCTTATCAGGCCTTTATTCATGCTACGCTTGAATTTCTTGAAGCTCAAAAAACTAGTTTAATACCACTTTTAAGCATTTATAAAGTTGCTCTTGAGTTTGGTCTTACTGATCGAACCTTATGTGATGCAATACAAAATGGTATTCCTAATCATTGTGGTTTTCCAACTATACTTACAATCTATGAAGAGAATAATATAGTTGGTTATTGTTTAAACATACAGCAACTTGGGTTTGAACTCACCAAAGAGATAGTCAATACAATGATTATGCAAATTCTTAGTACCCAAGATTGAAAGCATCTATTTAATAGTGCTTTAGGTTATAAGTAGTGGAAAAGATCATCCAGAACTTTCATTTTGTACACCTCAAGAACTCTCCCAGGCACATACAAGTAAAGCCAACCCAGTTGTTCTTAAAGACCACTTCAAAAAACTCAAAAAACTTTATGATGATTATTCTTTAACTCCAGATTGTATCTGGAATATGGATGAGATGAGATTTAATATTTCTGCTCAATTACAAAAAGTTTTGGCCAAGAAAAATACCCGACAAGTTCATAAAACTGCAGCTGGAAATTCAAAAGAACATATCTTTATATACTCTACAATTTCAGCTACAGAAACCTATATCTCACTATTGCTTATTTACAAAGGAGTTAATGTTCTTGATAGATTGTTATCTAGTTCATTTGTCCTACCTAGCACTGTTGCAGGGTTTACTAATACAAGTTATATACAAGAAAATATTTTTAAAATGTAAATTAAACATTTTAATAAATCAATTTCACCTTTTAGACCAGTTTTACTTATGCTTGATAGATATTCTAGTTATATTGATTTGATTAGTATTAATTATTGCAAAGATAATGGAATTTTATTATATATACTCCCTTCATTTAAAAAACTTAAATTTAAATACTGTATGATAAAGCTTTAGACAACTTTAGATTTATTAATAATCAAAGAATTGTTGCAAAATATTTTTTTATACAAATTTTTGGTAAAGCATTTTTTAAAACTTACACTTCTGCAACAATTAGAAATGCTTATACTCAATTGGAATTTGGCTTTGGAATCCTAATACAATTAATTCAGACTGCTTAGCACCTTCATTATTAACTGAAAAAAAATTAGAAATTTCTTTTAAACTACAACATAAATATGATACAAGAAGTCTTAAAATTATGCAACTTGAAAAAAAAAACCAACAATTAAAAGAATATATCCAAGTTCTTGAACATTCTAAAACTACATCCTTATTATTAATTATGAAATATCTATCTATGAAAGCTTTTTTAAGTGAAGAAAAACCTAAAACTAGACCTAAAGCTTTTAAATTTGGAAATTTAGTAACTTCTGAAGCTATTATAAAAGAATTACAAGAAAAAGAGAATATTAAGCAAAAGAAAATAGAATATATAAAATTAAGAAAAGAACAAAGAGCAAAAAAAAAGCAAAAAAAATAAGTTCAAAACCTAAAAAACTAATTTAAAAAAAAAAATTATAAAATATAAAATTTTTAAAAAATTTATATTATATTAATAGGAATAGGAAAGAAGGTTTAAAATTGTTATAAATTTTATAGAATTTAGCTTTATTTAAAAAAATTTTTTTTTGTATATAAATATTATTCAATTTAGATATTTTTTAAAATAAATCGATAATATATTTTATATATATTTTTTAATAAAAAAATATTAATTTTTAAAAAAAATTTATATATAATAAATAAAAGTTTGCAGAAATAGGGTGATCTACCTTATGCTTAACTTTTAATAAACATAAATACTCACTGCTATATAATATTTTCTATTTATATTAATCATTCATTATGCTTCTAACTAAAAATCATTATTAATTAGTAAATCTTTTTTTTTTTTTATTTCGCCAAATGCCGTTATGGCCAACTTTTATTAGGTGCAAATATTGTTACTAAAGTAACTATTATATATACTATATATAGAAGTACATTTTTAGTATATAAGAGTACAACTAGCTATATATACATCTTTTGAGTGCCTATTTAAGTAGTCTGCTGAAGGTTCTACACTAGCTGCTATACTTGTAACCCAACTAGGGGATTACTCATTTAAACCCTCTAGCACCCCAGTCTTGTACTATCCAATATGAAGTGTTATCTATTAAAACAGCTCT